GCGCATGTGACCGCAGCCTAAGAGGGGCAAATGAGAGGAGGAGCGCTTATAAAGCCACCAGGACGGCTCTTGGGAAAGCAGGCGCACCCTAAACACTGACCTTAAAAGCCGTTTTACCACATCAGCATAGCTCTCACACACGCTGTCTGCCATCTGCCCTGAACAATGCAAACCAAGATTCATCCGTGAAGAGAACACCTCTCCAACGTGCCAGACGCCATCGAATGTGAGCATTTTCCCACTCAAGTCTGTTACGTCGACGAGCTGGAGTCAGGTCAAGACCCCGGTGAGCATGCAGTTCAGCTTCCCTGAGACGCTTTCTGACAGCTTGTGCAGAAATTGTTTGGTTATATGCAAACCAATTGTTTCAGCAGTTGTCTCAGTGGCTGGTCTCAGACAATCTTGGAGGTGAACCTGCTTGATGTGGAGATCCTGGGCTGGTGTGGTTACACGTGGTCTGTGGTTGTGAGGCCGGTTGGATGTACTGCCATATTCTCTGAAACGCCGTTGGAGACGGCTTATGGTGGAGAATTGAACATTCAATGCACGAGCAACAGATCCGGTTGACATTCCTGCTGTCAGCCAATTGCACGCTCCCTCAATGCTTGTGGCATTTTGCTGTGAGACAGAACTGCACATTTCAGGGTGACCTTTTATTGTAGACCGTCTAAGGCACACCTGTGCACTAATCCTGATGTCAGATCAGCATCTTGATGTGGCACACTTGTGAGGTGGGATGGATTATCTCAGCAAAGCAGAAGTGCTCACTATCACAAATTTGGACAGATTTGTGAACGATGTTTGAGAGAAATGGTATTATTGTGTATCTGGAATGAATTTTAGATCTTTAAGTCCATCTCCTCTCCAGGTGGGTGGAGAGGTCCTTCCTCAAGTGGAGGAGTTCAAGTATCTCGGGGTCTTGTTCACGAGTGAGGGAAGGATGGAGCGTGAGATTGACAGGCGGATCGGTGCAGCGTGCGCAGTGATGCGGTCTCTGTATCGGACCGTTGTGGTAAAGAGGGAGCTGAACCGAAAGGCGAAGCTCTCGATTTACCGGTCAATCTTCGTTCCCTCCCTCACCTATGGTCATGAGCTTTGGGTAGTGACCGAAAGAACGAGATCGCGGATGCAAGCGGTCGAAATGAGCTTCCTCCGTAGAGTGGCTGGGCGCTCCCTTAGAGATAGGGTGAGGAGCTCGGTCACACGGGAGGAGCTCGGAGTAGAGCCGCTGCTTCTCCACGTCGAGAGGAACCAGTTGAGGTGGCTCGGGCATCTGTTCAGGATGCCTCCTGGACGCCTTCCTGGGGAGGTGTTCCGGGCACGTCCCACCGGGAGGAGGCCCCGGGGAAGACCCAGGACACGCTGGAGAGACTATGTCTCTCAGCTGGCCTGGGAACGCCTTGGGGTCCCCCCGGACGAGCTGGAGGAGGTGTGTGTGGATAGGGAAGTCTGGGCGTCTCTGCTTAGACTGCTGCCCCCGCGACCCGGCAACGGATAAAGCGGAAGAAAATGGATGGATGGATGGAAGTCCATCTCATGGAAAGAGGTTCCACCAGAAGTCAGACATGAAGAAACACACCTTCATCCACACAGGTGCTCTTCTACTCCCACTCTACACACACTGCAAACACACACGACACACACAAACACAACACACCCACTACACACAAACTACAAACACACTACAAGCAGAGTGTCCTGAAAAGCGCTATATAAAACCAATGCATTATTATTATTATTATTAATAAACTACACACGCACGCACACACACACACACACACACACACACACACAAACACCTACTACACACTATATACACCTAATAGACATTATAGACGCCTATTTAAAACACTACATAATACACACCCACTACACACAAACACACAATAAGCACTACACACACACACACACACATACACACACACACACTACACACAGCCTGGTGTCTGACCCATGTCCTCCACAGGTGAGAAACCACATGTGTGTAAAGTGTGCGGTAAAGGATTCAGCCAGAGTTCTAACCTCATCACCCACAGCCGCAAGCACAGCACCTACAGGCCCTTCCACTGCCCCCAATGCGAGCTCAGCTTCCAGCGCAGAGTGGACCTACAGCGCCACCAGGAGATGCCCTGTGTGTACAACACATACACATGCACATTTCCCTGGAAATAAAGGCACTTAAGAAGGAAAGCTGATGTTGCCGTAAACTGGATTATAATATGGCAAATACTGTATTTATCTCTCATCTTCTCACAAGACTGTGTCTCCACAGAAAACGGAATACTGTATTCAGGACAATACACACCAGAAACCAGCCGTTTAAAGTAAAAGGATGTGTTATTTCCTTTTTTAAGCCATTTATTTTAAAGGGCCCTTATTAAGCTTTTCCACTTTTCTCTGGTTAAACATGATTACAGTGCTATTAGGGCGGCAGTAGCTCAGTTGGTAGAGCGTTGGCCTTTGAGCCAGAAGGTCGTGGGTTCAAGCCCCGCTCAAGACTTTCACCACCATCTCCCACTGACTACTGACGTTGTGTCCTTGGCAAGACACTTAACCTCTGGGAACACCAGCCACAGTGGGGCGGCTGCGGCTGTAAAGTGCCAAACTGCCGTTGTGTCCTTAGGCAAGACACTTCACCCCCATTGCCTAGAATGAGTCTGGTGTGTGTGTGTGTATGAATGGTTGGTGGTGGTCGGAGGCGCCGATGGCGCATACTGGTTGCCTCGCTTCTGTCAGTGTGCCCCAGGGCAGCTGTGGCTACAGTAGTAGTTTATCACCACCGTGTATAATGACATGTGAAGCGTCTTTGAGTGTCCAAAAAAGCGCTATATAAAACCGATGCATTATTATTTGGCCTTCATACACAAGTCCTGAGTAGATTTTTCATTGATTCCGTCAATCTTAAATTAGAGAGCGATCTTTCTCTTTCATTCTCGAGAGGCACAGAAACGAGCTGATTCAAATTGTGACGTGGCACAATCCGTGACGTCAAAAGCGTCACTGATTGACAGCGAGGAAAAACTGAACCAGCGAATCAGTGCCATCTATGCAGCCCATGCAGCAGGGCTGGACTGGCCATCGGGCGTACCGGGCAATGGGCCGATGCCCATATTTGGGCCGGTTTGTCTGCCTCATACAAAAAACATGTTTGTGAAAAGTGTAAATCCGTTGAGAAATGTTTGAGGGGAGCGCGCGTGTCCGCGGGGCACCTGCTGTATGTACTCGAACGGGATTCCACCACCTCAGCGGCCGCAGTGTTCCCGCATCCCGCATCCAGCGGCTCTGAGCTGGACGCAGGAACCGCTCACCGGGAACCGCTCACAACACAACACGGTGAGCGCGTAGCCGCAACGTGACCATGTACCCAAGACCATAAACGCGCACAGGACCATGCATGTCTTTTCGTAATTTGTGCACCCAATAAATACACCGCTGCAGAAAACAGTCTGCGTCTCCCCTCTCCTCTAAATTAAAGCTCGGGTACCTACATTTTCCATTGCATTAAAAGTTCATGTTTGAGCCCAAAAGTAAAATGTTGTGAACAGATTAAACAGATTTAGAGCCAGCTAATGGCTGACAATATGCATTTCAGAAATGTTTACCAATTCTCATCCCTGTAACAAACAATAGTGTTGTCTGTGTCACCTCCCTCACTCTGAGACATGTTTATTACTCTGTTTAATGTAGACTATTGTACTTTATTTTATTGTTGAAACTGCAGACATCCTGATCCTCTACAGTATTTGCTTCCACATACTGTATAAACCAGGGGTCGGCAACCTTTAGTGCCCCTAAAGTGGCTCCTGGAGCCTTTTCAAAAATGTCTGAAAATGGAGTGTGAGGGCTATATTTTATTTCTAGTTTCAATGTGGTTTCTGTAGGAGGAAAAACATTCTTAACGTTTTTCAATGCTGCAAAAACTTCAATTTCATTTTCAATTTTAGCATTTCTGTCAACGTAGTGCGTCATATCCTGTGACGCGCCCGTGCCAGGCGGCCGCTGCTGTAAACAAACCGGTGTAACGCCGAGATACACTGTCTTGAAGAGATACTGACAGTTTTCAAAAGGTTCAAGGAGCCATATTTGACAAAAAACAAATAAACAGCGTTGTATAAGGCTTATATGAAGGTAACAGGGGCTGAAGCTGTATTAGCTACATTAGCTACATTAGCTACATTAGCTACCTTAGCTACCTTAGCTACATTAGACTAATATCTAAATGACAAAGTAAAGGCTAAACACATAAAAACCATTCATGATTATCAAATGTGTATTTTCATTGCAGCATGTCCTGGAGAGAATGACGCACCACGTGACGACTCTGCTTTAATTTTAACCTTCATGCAATTGTACAAATAGAGTAAATAAATATGCTTTTTGGCTCCGAGTTCACCTGCATCACTGTCTGTTCATATCCATCACAGGCTGAAGTTTGCTGGAGCTGAATGTCCTTAATGGCCTTTTCTTTCACCGTCTTTGCGAAGGTTTTTGAAGTCTGAAAATAGGTGCTCTGACTTTATGATGAATGAATCTTTCAGTGAAGGGTGTTTAAAGCTTCATTGTTCCTCCTGTTGCAACAAAACTTCTCATTACATCGCAAACATGAAGCAGTCCTTCCTCATTGACTGAAAGCAAATGTTCATTCTCATTCTTAGTCCAGTCTTATCGACTCTCTCTCTTTATCTTTGGGATCCATGCGCACACACAGTCTATAATGCTCACACGCAGGTGTAACGCCGAGATACACTGTCTTGAAGAGATGCACTGCCTCAGCTGTTTATGATGTAATGCAAACCTGCGCATGCGCGTCTCACGGCAACCGACGCATACCAAGATGGCGGACCGTGAATTGCTTTAAAAGTTGAAATACGAACGAATTAAGACACGAATGTCACTTTTAATGCAATTTGAGGCGAGATGTTGATGGTTACAGGTGTAACGCCGAGATACACTGTCTTGAAGAGATGCACTGCCTCAGCTGTTTATGATGTAATGCAAACCTGCGCATGCGCGTCTCACGGCAACCGACGCATACCAAGATGGCGGACCGTGAATTGCTTTAAAAGTTGAAATACGAACGAATTAAGACACGAATGTCACTTTTAATGCAATTTGAGGCGAGATGTTGATGGTTCCGTTTTGTCTCATGTGGGTTTTAAGAGTCAAAGTTTTGTGTAAAGTTTAGTTTAAGCAGCCACCTGCGCCTGTGAAACCACAAAGCTAATGTTTTCATAGCAGTCCGCGGCTGCTGACGTAGGCTGATGACGCGTCCTGTGGCAACTCTACACTGGTCTGTCGGGTTGATAATGGAAATAATAAATTTCATTCAATACATGGATCGTACTGTATTTAATATGATTAACAATAGTGTGTTCAAACAAAATATTTAATTAGATTGATTTTTTTCCCCCATGTTCCATTATCAACCCGACAGACCAGTGTAAGAGTGTAGAGTGGCCACAGGACGCGTCATCAGCCTACGTCAGGAGCCGCGGACTGCTATGAAAACTTTAGCTTTGTGGTTTCACAGGCGCAGTTGACTGCTTAAACTAAACTTTGCACGAAACTTTGACTCTTAAAACCCACATGTGACAAAACGGAACCATCAACATCTCGCCTCAAATTGCATTAAAAGTGACATTCGTGTCTTAATTCGTTCGTATTTCAACTTTTAAAGCAATTCACGGTCCGCCATCTTGGTATGCGTCGGTTGCCGTGAGACGCGCATGCGCAGGTTTGCATTACATCATAAACAGCTGAGGCAGTGCATCTCTTCAAGACAGTGTATCTCGGCGTTACACCTGCGTGTGAGCATTATAGACTGTGTGTGCGCATGGATCCCAAAGATAAAGAGAGAGAGTCGATAAGACTGGACTAAGAATGAGAATGAACATTTGCTTTCAGTCAATGAGGAAGGACTGCTTCATGTTTGCGATGTAATGAGAAGTTTTGTTGCAACAGGAGGAACAATGAAGCTTTAAACACCGTTCACTGAAAGATTAATTCATCATAAAGTCAGAGCACCTATTTTCAGACTTCAAAAACCTTCGCAAAGACGGTGAAAGAAAAGGCCATTAAGGACATTCAGCTCCAGCAAACTTCAGCCTGTGATGGATATGAACAGACAGTGATGCAGGTGAACTCGGAGCCAAAAAGCATATTTATTTACTCTATTTGTACAATTGCATGAAGGTTAAAATTAAAGCAGAGTCGTCACGTGGTGCGTCATTCTCTCCAGGACATGCTGCAATGAAAATACACATTTGATAATCATGAATGGTTTTTATGTTTTTAGCCTTTACTTTGTCATTTAGATATTAGTCTAATGTAGCTAAGGTAGCTAAGGTAGCTAATGTAGCTAATGTAGCTAATACAGCTTCAGCCCCTGTTACCTTCATATAAGCCTTATACAACGCTGTTTATTTGTTTTTTGTCAAATATGGCTCCTTGAACCTTTTGAGTTGCCTGGGCCGCTTAAAAGGAAAAAATGCCCGGGCCGTTTTTTTGTCCCAGTCCAGCCCTGCCATGCAGCCTCTCGCTGAGTCCAGCGGGTGGTCCATAGACAGTAAATAAGCGTCCGTGCTAGTTTGTGTTAGCTTCCCGTGACTTGTAGAAACTGTGTTGTTGGTGTAAATATGTGACGATAGTATTTGTCCCAAAGACGGAGAATGAGGCGACTGGAGATCGACATTGTTCACGGGGATATCTGCCTCATAATTTATTCTATTTTGTTCTAGCTGGAAAGAGTGTATAAAATAAGGCTTGCTGAAAGTGAAAATGAAAGTTCACATTAGCCACAATGTTGTACATATACTGTAGAATACTTTTGAGAATTAAAAATATAGGAGGATTTTCTACTTCCGGGTGGATCATCAAGACTTGTTCCAGACCTTGAGTCCGTAATTAACCCGGATCTATAGCCCGTCCGTCCGTGGGAGCGGATCCCTTTCTGAGGTTTCTCACTTTTTCCCACTGGGTTTTTTTAAAGAGTTTTTCCTTGCCGATGCAGGAGGGTCCGTTGGGCAGTTAGTGTCCAACTAGAAGGACTGTGGTGATGATCCAGGACACTTTAACATTCTACAAAATGTATGACATTTATCAACATGTGTTCTATATTCTTTTTGTGTCCTAACTGTTGATTCTCTGATCTATGTTGGTGATTCAATGGTTTTGTTAAGTCCTCTGAGATGACTTCTGTTGTGATTTAGGGCTATACAAGAATAAATTGTATTGTATTCAAGTTCAAGTTCAAGTTGTCTTTATTGTCCCACTAGGGGAAATTGGTTTTGCAGCATAAATCATCTAAAAAAAAAAACAGGCAGATACAGTAAAATCACAACATTGAGAAAACAAGAACAAAAGAGAATGTCACAAAACAAATTTTCAGCGCAAAGGTTTGTAAAAGTGCTATGTGCTGTTAAGGTGCTTCACAGTTGTTGGGATAAATGTAGTTCCCAACCGTTTTGTCCTACACCCAAGAGCCCTATAGCGTCGTCCTGAGGGTAAAAGTTCAAACTGCTCCCTCAGGGGGTGGTCCAAAGAACCAATGATAGAATTGGCCTTCCTCAGCACTTGTATTGTATAAAAGATGATATAATTGCAATCACACCTGTTTCTTTCCTTTATGTAATTGTAAATTGTAAGTCATTGTAAATTTGTGGTTGACGAATCAAAGTTTGAATAAACTAAAATAAACCTAAACCTATGAATAGTTTACACACAAAAGTCACAAGTTTAAAATGAGTCTCATGTCACTACACCTCTGCTCTGAGAAGGAACCTCCTTTCACCAATACACCTTTTTGGACTGACTGTATACTGTAATGTACTTTCTCTTTTATATTCATATTTCAAAATATGGACCAATTGAATTTGAGACTGAAATTAAGATTCGTAAAATGACACCAAAGCAGACATTGCAGGTTAGGAAAAAGGGAAAACATTTATTGAGCGCTTGACTTGGCTGGGCTGGTGGGTCTCTGGAGCAGGAAGGTGGTCTGGGAAAAAAGACAATTTGAATGAATAACAAGGCAAAACATGTTAACACAAGCTGAAGTTTGAAGTTTCACTAGATTCAAGCTAAAGATAGGTCTGTACCACTGTAGATGTCATGGTGTGGATTTTGTATTTTGTTTTTAGTTTTACTTCCCGACTTGTTCCACAGTTGATTGCCTGCCCTAATGTGTTTCACCTGTGTCTCTGTGTCTTTATGTGCTCTGTGCTCTTCCCCCATTTGTTGCTGGTTCATTGTCTTTGTTCCTGATACGTGTGTTTAGTTTGGATTTTGTTTTTTCAATGGACTTTTATCATAATTAAATCATTCTTTTGCATTCTTGCATTCTGGGTCCTTCCTTCAGCTCACCTTGTCACAGTAGAACAATCTGGCAGTGTGACCTGGAGAGCTTGATTGTAGGAGTCAGGTGTAACTGCTCAGAGATCCCACCAGCAAAACACCAATCCTGCAAGACAGAGACCAGGAGACTCAGAGACCAGGGAACAGACAGACACATGGGGCAAAGATATATATATATAAGAATCAATGGAAGTTGAAATAAGAACCCCTCTTTGTGGTGGGTCAGTAACTGAAAACTATGGTTTTGCCCCACATTATATACAAATATATACATAGACCACCCTTACCTGCAGTGTCCTGTGTGCTGTCCCCCCTTGTCCTGGATGCCCTGTGAGGTCTGAGATCCAGATCTAGAGTTGATCCAGCATCTGTTGTTCCGCTCCCCACTGCTCTATACTATTTAACACTAAATACAATTTAGTGTTGAGAGAACAGATTTTTAAAAGAACATGCGATGTCTGTCCTCAAGAGTTCACCTGAGTATGTGTTGGATGAGAGAAGGCACGCTCCTTTTGTGGCACCAGCAGCTGCCACAGCTGATCAGGCGCTGCCACAGCTGATCAGGCGCTGCCACAGCTGATCAGACGCTGCCACTCTTTCTGCCACTGGCATTTTCAGTAGCAGCTAGAAGCTTGGTAGCATTTTAGCCTGAATGTCCCCCAGGGCAGGTAAAGGTGCCCTGAGTGTTGTCCTTGGTGTAGCTGGAAAAACAAGCACAGCAACAGTAGGTCAAGATGCTCTTTGCTGAGTTTACAAAGGAAGTAGTCTCTGCTCTAAAGTTTGAAGTTTCATAATATTCAAGCTTAAATAGGTCTGTACCACTGTAGAGAAGGAAAAATTTGCCTGTGAGACCTGGAGAACTTGATTGTAGGAGTCAGGTGTGCCTGCTCAGAGATTCCTCCAGCAAAAAAAAACAATCCTGGAACACGCAAGAGTGAGAATAAGAGACAAGGGAATAGACAGACACATGGGGAACAGAGCACTTATTGTCTCCACCAATATACAAATGAATTAATTCAGATGAAGTTGAAATAAGAAACCTTCTCAATGGTGGGAAAACTGTCAGTAAGTGTCAAATATGTTTTTGCCTCACTTCATACATAGACCACCCTTACCAGCAGGGCTGCTCCAGTCTCTGAGCTTGGATCAGGTCCTGTGTGCTGTCCCTCTTGTCCAGGATGTCCAGTGAGCTCTGAGACGTGTGATCCAGCATCTGTTGCTCCACTCCCCGACGCTCTGCACTCAAGGAAGGCAAGTGCTTAAGAGACCAGGGAAAAACAGACACATGTGGAGCATTACCTGCAGTGTTGTGAGACCTTTGTGGGCCTGCTCCAGTCACAGGACCTATCTTGGATCAGGTCCTGAGTGCTTGTCCTGGATGAGCTCTGTGACGTGTGATCCAGCAACTGTGGCTCTGCTCCCCAATGCTATCTGCACTCAATGAAGACAAGTACTTCTGCGGCACCTCTCTGCAGCTGCACAAATACAATTTAGTGTTGAGAGAACAGATTTTTAAAGAACATGTGATGTCTATCCTCGATAGTTCACCTGGGTCTGCTCTGGACACTGATGTCTGTCCTCCAGAGTTCACCTGGGTCTGCTCTGGACACTGATGTCTGTCCTCCAGAGTTCACCTGGGTCTGCTCTGGACACTGATGTCTGTCCTCCTAAATTCACCTGTTTCTGTTCTGCCACTGGCATTTTCAATGGCAGCTAGAAGTTTATCGGCATGTCCAGTGGCAGATAGAAATTATGTGGCATGTCCAGTGGCAGCTGGAAGCTTAGTGGCACGTGGTGCCCTGATTGTTCTTCTCAGCAGAGATCATTTTGCAGTGGGTCAAAATACTCTCCGCTGAATTTACAAAGGAAGCTGTACCAGTGTACGTGTTGTTACTGAAAATACCACTAAAGTTTACAGCTGCCCTGAAATTGTGACAGCTGCCACTGGTCAGGCAGGCTCCTTTTGTGTCATAGCCACAAAAGGAGCCTGCCTCCACTGCTCTGGACACAGATGTCTGGCTCTACTCTTGCTGTTGAGATTCCTGAGAGGGGGAATCAGGAAGCAGAAGAAAGAAAATAAGGAGGAAGGGCAAACATTTTGGTCCTCTGGAACTGGATCTGATCTAAGGAAGAAAACTGTGGAAGAAGGATCAGAGGAATTTAGAGGACAGAGATGGGGTTAGGAGGAAAGAAAGGCAGGGAGAAGAGGAGGAGGAGGCAGGGAGGAGATAGGGGGGAGGGGATGGGTGGGAGGGAGAAGAAGTGGCAGGCAGGGGTAGGATTGGAGAGAGGGAGGGAGAGTCACAAGGAAGGAGAGAAGAGAGAGGGGCTGGGAAGGTTAGGACGAAGGAGAGCGGGAGGAAGAAGAGGGAGCAGGGGAGAGGGGAGGAGGGGAGAAGGCAGGAGCAGGAGACGAGCAGCGCCGCCTCTTGGAGCTGTTCTCAGCAGAGCACTCGGACCTGCTACGTTTGTGGGAAGAAGAGGGAGTCGGAGAAGCAGTGTTAGGAACTGTAGGGCAATCTGGGTCACGGACATCTGACACAGAGAGAGAAGGGAGATCTGGACCTAAAACCAACTCCTCTGGATCTGGGGAGGAAGAGTGTGAGGGGGAGGCAAGGAGGGGAGAAGGAGGAGCACTGCCAGGAGGAGAGAGGACAGCTGCACCAAGGATGAGAGGAACCTGAAGAGGAGAAACCGTGGGGGAGGCAGGAGCTGGATCTAAAGTCTGCACAAAAAAGTCCAGGAACTCCTCAAGGCTCTGGAAATCAGAGGCAGAAAAAGATGATGAGGAAGGCGCAGAAGGAGAAGAGGGAGAGGCTGGACCTGATGGGGAGGAAAGAAAAGGAGAAGGAGGGGCAGAAACAGGAGGGGAAGAGGCGGCTGCACCATGACTAGCAGGAACCTGAAGAGGAGAAGTAGTGGGGAGGCAGCTGAATCCAGAGTCTGGACGAAAACGTTCAGGAACTCCTCAGGGCTCTGGAAATCTGAGGCGGAAAAATCAGAAGAGCAGGAAGAAGAGGGAGACGTGGGAACCGGAGAGGAAGGTGCTGGGGAAGGACAAAGAAAGTAAGGAGAATCAGGAGGTGAAGAAAGAGGGGGGGAGGGAGGCTGAACATCAGAATCCACAACATCCGCCTGCGGAGGGAGAACCACCAGCTGAGGGTCGTCCACCTGCGGGGGGTAGAAGCCCTGAGGAGGGTAGTCCACCTGCAGGGGAAAGAGACCCTGCAGACGGTAGTCCCCCTGCGGAAGGTAGTCCACCTGTGGGGGATAGAAACCCTGCGGACGGTAGTCCCCCTGCGGAAGGTAGTCCACCTGTGGGGGATAGACACCCTGCGGAAGGTAGTCCACCTGTGGGGGATGGAAACCCTGCGGACGGTAGTCCACCTGTGGGGGATGGAAACCCTGCGGACGGTAGTCCACCTGTGGGGGATGGAAACCCTGCGGAAGGTAGTCCACCTGTGGGGGATGGAAACCCTGCGGACGGTAGTCCACCTGTGGGGGATGGAAACCCTGCGGACGGTAGTCCACTTGCGGGGGATGGAAACCCTGCGGACGGTAGTCCCCCTGCGGAAGGTAGTCCACCTCTGGGGGATAGACACCCTGCAGACGGTAGTACCCCTGCGGAAGGTAGTCCACCTGCGGGGGATGGAAACCCTGTGGACGGTAGTCCCCCTGCGGACGGTAGTCCACCTGTGGGGGATGGAAACCCTGCGGAAGGTAGTCCACCTGCGGGGGATGGAAACCCTGCGGACGGTAGTCCACCTGCGGGGGATGGAAACCCTGCGGACGGTAGTCCACCTGCGGGGGATGGAAACCCTGCGGACGGTAGTCCACCTGCGGGGGATAGAAACCCTGCGGAGGGAGGACCACCTGCGGGAGATAGAAACCCTGCGGAGGGAGGACCACCTGCGGGGGATAGAAACCCTGCGGAGGGAAGGGAAGATAAACCCGATCTTCAAGGTGACCTAAAATAAGAACAAAAAACAAGTCAAATATGTGTCGTTTTTAGCATCATTCATGCCTGTTTGAAATATTGAAATCCTATTCTGCAAGACGCTGTTGTTCCACTGAGGCCTCTACACTAGGGCTGGGCGATATGGCTGAAAACTATATCACAATATAAGTAATTCATATCGGTCGATAACAATATTGATTATTATTATTTTATTTTTTTACTTGAATAAATACGTTTGTCTTGTCTGCTAACACATGTTTCTCTCAGCCCCTTAGGCACCACTAGGCAAGCCCCTTTTTCTGCTACCGTCCTCAGCCATCTAAACCTACTGTGCCTACCCGGTTCTCTTACACCTTATCAGCTTCGTGTCAACATTGCCTCCGGCTTCAGTCACCACGCCCTCGCACTCCCGGCGTTCGCCTTCGGAACCTACCTTTCCGCGCCCACCTGATCATCACGACATTTCTCTATGCCACATCCACTCCTCTTGGGCTGAGGTTCCGCTTCTCATTTCTCGTCCGCCCCCCCTCTCCCCTTCAGCCTTCTTTCTCCTGTCTTCCAACGCCCCTAGCTTCCCATCCCCCGTCCCCCCCCTTTATCCGCCTCATGCTCTCCCCTTGCCATGTTACGCTATGTCGCCCCTCTCGGTGGGTCACCTCCCACTTCCACTCGATGTCGTACCTGCGTACTTCCTCTACCAATTAGTACTTCTTCTCTGACATCTGATCGACACTACCCCAGGCTTCATGCAATCCACCCTCGCTCGGTTCTCTATCCCCCACTGCTCACAACCTTCTTCTTTTCTCTACTTTTTTATCCCCATTTGCCCCTCCGTCACCCTCCCCTCAGCCCTTCCCACCGCCCCTTCCACCCTCTTTCTCACACCCCCACTCGTACCACCCACCGCAGACCTCCTCCACAATCGTACTCCACCTCTTCCATTTGTCCGCATCCCGTGCTCCTACCACATCACCCACGGTCGTTCCTTCGTCTAACCCGTTTCACCTGCTACCCGCCCGTCTGTATTGCCACGCATAAGTTCATCCTGCCATTCCAGTCCCGTTCTTTTGGCGCAACTTGCCCACGCTCTATGGCCGCCGAAAGCGAGTGAACACGTTAATCGGCGTAGCTATGTGGTAAAGAGACACAACATGACTGTTCATACCACCCACCCACACTGATCCTCTTTGCACCGTTGGCCTTCTCCTCTCCCCGGGCGGTTCCTCCCCGTCCTATCTTTCCATTGTACATCTACTCTGCCCCATCCTTCCGATGTTCCGGCTGACCACTCCTTCTCCTGTCCTCCCCCTCTTAGCCTACCATCCAGAGTGCTCATCCTCAGCTACGACACCTTCACCACTAGTTCTCCTGCGCTGCTTTCGACCACATGCACTGAGACTTCTTTCTGTTCTCCAGCTCCCTACTGCCACCGACTCTCCCATCACCCTTACCTCCAACGCGATCACCTGCGTCCCCAACCCCGCCATTCCCCCCACGCCCCTGAGTTTCACCCCCGTCTCCTTGACGCTTTCCTCCTGTCACTTCTCCCTACCTCCCAATACACTTCCGGGGAGCAACAATTCACCACCCAGTACCCCCTCACTCCTTTCTGACCTGCTCCTGCGCCGTTCCAACGACGCCTACTCCCGCACACTTGCCTCTTTCCATATCTTGACGCTGGCATTCCTGCCTCCCCGGCGTCGTCCCCTCCCTACCTAACTAGCTTCTCTCCCGTTTCTACTGTGTATCTGTTTTCTTAGTCTATCCTAAACTCTACTCCTAGTGTACCCCCCCCTCCGCACCCAGTATTCGCCACCAAACACGGCGCCTTATACTTTCCTGCGCTACCCGGCGGGCGTACTCGTCTCGGCGTCCGTCTCTGGTCTCGCACGCTCACCCGTGTGCGCTGTGTCAGGGCCTATTCTCAGCACACCACCCTATCAGTTGTCATGCACGCACACATTGCACGTTCTGACCGAACCCGGGGGGGTGCTCACCCAAACGGCGACTCTGGAGCTCACACTCTCATTCTCACCGGTCCGGTGGGACGTCGCGCGCTGTTTGACGCCCGGCCCCGCCTCCGGCACTTCAACCCGATACGACCTCGATCACTCCGGTCTACCGGCTACTTTCGTCACTCCTCCCGATCCCCCGCCACCTTTCACCCTCTCCTGTTAATCTCCCGTCGTTCCGTTACTCGTTTCAGTCACTCAGTCTCACATTCACCTCTGCCCCGTAGTACGGCGTCTTGTTTTTGCCCTCCCTCCACGTACCGCAGTCCGTCTCTCTTCAGACAACATCGTGTCTTCCCTCCTCCTTCCCTCCTCCGTTATCTCGTCAGCATCTACGCCCGGCACTTTGTACTCTCGACGCCTCGCTCGTTGGTTTGCGGACCTGCGGTTTTGCGAGCCGTGATGATATCCGGTGCACAACTCCTCTCTAACTCCGCGTGTAACTTCTCACCTTTATCCCCATCTTGTCTCTCTTCCTTCGCGTCCTGCCACAGTTTGTCCCTGTGTGGGGGGCTGCCCTTACCACAACCCCTCTTATCGGCTCTCCTCGGGGGAATTGCTTCTCCCGACGCTCCTGTGATCACATGCGGGTTCCCTACGGCCCCCACCAGCTGCCCAGTCACGAAGCCTCCCTTGTTTCTACGTGTCCTCACTCTATCTTCCCACCCTCCCCCGATGTGTCCGACACCTGGTGCACGTTCGCCCCCCCCCACCTTTATTTCTCCTGTGCGTCTCATACCTTCCGCCCCTTCTCTCGCCCCTCTCTGCTGTCGTTCTCGTTTGCACTGTCGCCACGGCGCTTAATGCCCACTCTGTTCAGTCCTGTTTTCCACGACCACCTATCCCAGCGTCTGCTCCCCCTAGCTCACGCCGCCCGAATCCGGCTTTCCCTCGTATGCCTCCCGCGTCTCCCACGATTTTGTTGCTTATGTCCACGCCATTTTGGTTACCTCGCCCTGCCCCCCAGTCTCTGTTTCATACCCCTTGCCTCCCCCACAGCCGTCCCTAGAAAGTCCACCGCCATTCACTCGTTTACTCCCACTACGACCCCCGCACGATTCATGTCCCTTGCCCTCGATCCGTCCCCCCCCCTCCCCGTCCCGTCCCACCGAGTAGTGTCTGACATACATTCATTCCCACTCGTCTTCTTGATATTTCTTGCCCCATCACCCCCCTCTTTTACTACGCCTTTTTCCGTTCATGGCCCGCCAGCTACCCTACATGTCGCCCAACTCCCCTCCCGCTTTTACGCATCTCTCCTCCTTTTCCTCCCGCCACTCCTCATAGTCCCCCTCGATCGTCATCCGTCCACCTGTCACCCCCCCCCATCTATTATTCTAGTCTACTCCTTTCCCACCCCCCCAACCACTGCCGCCCTCCCCTTCTCCCCCGCACTTTCCCTCGCAGTAACTTGGCTGTGCTCAACCACCCTTGCTCCCCTCTTTCACCTCCTGTCTATCCGACATCGCGCCCACCTCCTGCTGCAACTCTTTGTTTTTCGCTGTCCGCTCCAACTTGCTCGAAGTTACCGCTCTCGCACCGCCTTTCTCCTACCATGCCTCTGCTTTTGGCATGCCCCAAAACTCTCCCTGCCACTCGCGGTCTACTTCCTTCGGATCTCTACCCCCTCTCAGCACCCTTTGTCTGCGGCTGGCCCTCGCACCACTCCCCACACGTTGCTCCTCCTCTCCCTCCGCCCATCGTACACAACTCCCTCCTCTAGTCTACTTCCGTTACTTATATTCGTCTCTATTCCCCACCCCCACCGCCTCTCACCGCCCGCGCTTGCTCCGCCTAGCTTACACTGTGCTCCGTCCACCCGCTCTCTGTCCCTCTACGACCCCCCCCGTTCTCGCCTCCCCTTCAGCCTCTACTTCGGCTGACTTGACACGGCTTTACGTTCCGCGGGCTCGAGCGACTCCCGGTCCGCTCCGTGGCGGTACGTCGCGCCCCCTCACCCGTTGACTGAACCCCCTTCCGTCCCTACTCGCCGGCTATCCGCCCACACGTGTTGGGGGTGTCTCGGGCTGCCCCGTCCTTCGCTCCAAGTCCCACCTTGTTCCTTGGCACCTGGCGTTTTTTAAGCTACCCTTCACGATGCTTTTCACTCCAGTGTTTTTCCGTGCCGCTGGTCACCTCTTACGTTATCCCTTACACGCGTGTTGCGTCCCGCAACTCTTTTTCCATCCCTCCCCCCCCGTTCCCGGACCCCCAACCCCACTGCTTGCCGATGTTCTCTGTCTTTTGATCACGCCGGGGCGACCCACCTCCTCCCCTCCCAGCAGCTTGTGTCCCCCACTCGATCCCACTGTCATTTCCTACCCCCTCTCCGTTGTGTTCTGCGTCCCCGGTCTACTCCCGGTTGACGGTCCCCCTGTGGGTGCCGCCCGACCCAGTGTCCAACCTGGTTCTTGTTGTCCTCACTCCCCGTGCCTAGCCTCCCGTGCCGATCTCACCGGGGTGAAGTGGGAGAGGTGTTGGGGTGGGGGGCGATCTCCCAGCTGAGATCGCCGGGCGTCAACTTCGCCACGTCCTGACCGCGGTTCATCTACCACCCTTGTGGCTTTTTTCCGTGTCCCTTGCACCTGCCCCGCCATTGCTGCGGCATTGAAGCTCTTGTTCGGTCCTTTTGTATCAGCCGGTCCGTCTTTCCGGGTGTGTGTGAAGGCCTGATCCCACCCCGGCTAGAATCTTTGGGCACTCTCCCCCCCACTCTCTTTCCCTTCCGTTCGTTTCTCCTGGCTCGCTTCCCGCGGCACTCACTCCTTGTGGCAAATTCTATAGCCGGTCGTGATTCCCTCGGTTACTTACTCCCCTGCCACTACCGGCGATTCCACGTCACCTGGTTCGTCCCGATGCGCCCTCGCCTGGGTGAACAGTCTGTCGCCCTCTTTTGGGTGTGCCCAGTGAGAGTGCGTTTTCCCCCGCTTCTCGGCCCGCAGTGGATCTGCTGCTTGACATGCCTTATGTTGCCGTCGTTCGCCCCGGGACCGTCTTTTCCTCTCTGTCACAGCCTCCACATGCGTTTCCTTCCTCGCTAGCTGCCACTCCGTGCGGGCTGCTTTTCTCGTCCGCTATCTATGCACCCCTGAGCGCGCTGATCTCCTGCCTCTACGTGCTCCCTCTCTTCGCCCCCGGGTCTCACTTCTGTGCCTCGCCCCGGGGCTACGACCTCGGCCCCTCCTCACCGGTCGTCTTCCACCTCCCTTCGTTCCGTGCCCTGCCCACGTCCCGTTCCCTTGCCACTCGGCTCCGCTCAACTCCGCCACCCTTCCACTCAAGTCTTTCCTACTTAACGTTGCTCCGTCCTCCCCTGTCTGTCCCTTCCCTTGTTCAGATCGCGCCCCGTGGCCTTGGGGACGATCCTCGCTAGACTGCACTCGATCTACCTCGACCTGGCACCATGGGTTCCTCCCTGCACTACGCCCTCGTCCTCTTCGGTCTGGCTTACTCGCACGCGGGGTCCGGGATCGGGGACCCCACCCAGATGCTGCGGTCACTTTCCACGCCGTCGCGTTTCCGTGTGGCCAGGTCCCACCTTGGGCACTCCTCTCCTCTCCTTGTGGCACCCCCGATTACGACCTGCGTCGCTCGCCCCTATCCCGGCGGTCCTGAGCCCCACTGTTTCGGTCGCCGCCCTGACCACGTACCCGTTTGTCGTCCGTCCCGTTTTCCACCGTCGCATGTGGATTCCTCCCCTCCACTCGGTGGGCTCTAGTGATCATCTGACTTGCGTTACCGCCGCTCGCCCTTCGACCCAACTAACCTCTGGACCGTGCGAGCTGGCGGTCTCTGTGAGCCCGCGGGGCCCCACCATTCTTGCTGGCCCTCCGTTGATCGATTCAGTCCACTGCCCACCGCCCCCGGGGAGCAGCCGCACACTTGATTAACGTCGGTGCCGGACTCTCATCAGCTTTCGCCTTCCTGCTCCCCAGTCGCGTGTAGTGTTGCTCGCCTTGCCCCCCCACCGTTTACGCCCCCTTGTTAGTTGGGTCAACGCACTCCGGTACTTGCGCCCCCAGCGTCTGTCGCTGATAGCCTCTGGTGCTTGACCTCCCCCCCGATGACCTCTCCGGGTCCGTCGTTTTCGGTCCGATGCGGCCGCCTTTCCGCTCCTATCCCGGCTGGGCCCCCTATCCCCCGGCGTTAGCATTGTCGAGGAACCACCCGAGGGAGGCCGAGGCTTTGTGAGTTTCTACTATGGTCTATGCAAGGCCACCACCCATCTGGGAGCGGGCGTCTCCACACGTGGCCTAGCGCGCCACATCCATCGACCTTGCCGGCTATCAGACGTGGGAGACCGTGCCCGTCTGCGCATCCGCCCTCCATGCACAGCTGTCGTGAGGTACCCCGATCAGACGTCGTGATTCGTCCCCATCTCGTATGGCATCCCATACCCCACGCCCGCTTTGGGTCCGCCCCACGTGCCCCGTGCGCCCGCCGGCTTCCGCTGGCTGTCGTGCTACCATACTCCCCCTCCCCGGGCATGTAGCTCTCCCATCGCCCTTGTTTCCGCAGACGCTCTTGGTCGTGGTTCTCCCTCGATCCATCCGCATGTTGTGCCTGCCTATTCACGATTCGGACATCCTTCACCCCGGCCCCGGACGTCACGTGTGAACTCCGCTGGTCGGCCTGCCCTGTTCCCCCGCTGCCCCTAAGCACTTCGCCGCTGCTTCCTGTTGAGGCCAGCTGCCCGCCCCCCGAGCGCCCCCCTTCTTCATTTGTGCCTAGCCCAGGTTATCTATGGTATGTCACCACACTTGGTGGGGGCCATCTTGTAACCCCACCAGTTGCTTTTTAATAATTTTGCGCGCGGCGCCCCTACGTTTCCGCACCCTCGCTCCGCCCTACCTCCGGACCCCTCCCCATCGTACCTGGCTCGTACGGTTTCTTACACGCATGTACCGTCTGTGCGCCCGTCCTTGGCCATCACTCCAGGTCCGCGGCTCCAGCCGCGTCAGAAGCCGTCTCCTAGTTGGCCACTCAACCCACTATCCCCAGTTACAGTCGTTGTAAAATGCACACTTGTCCCCTTGGAGCCCACCCCACCAACACCATCACCCACAAAAGATAAGCCCCCACCTAATGAACACATCCATCAAAAACCAGTCACTATCCCTCGTCTAGGCAAGACCTAACAAAAAACGCCAACTCCCCCCTCCCGCCCAGTGTTACTGCGTAGGCCCCCGGACCGTCCACAGCCAACGACGCCTCCGCGGCCCTGTCACAGCAACACCAACGCATTTGAGGAATCACAGGTCGCAGGTGGCTGCAAACAAAACTCCCCATTAGACCACAACACAATTGATACTCTTAACACCCACATGCGAACACAACGGACCCATCAACCACACTCCACCCAAATAGCATAAACATATCCCTACGTATTGTACCATACATACGATTTCGACGCGTCCGCCATCATGGGAACAGCGTCGGTTCTCAGTGATCAAGCGCGCGGACTGCTATTGCAAAAACTTTAGCTTTGTGGTTTCACAGGCGCAGTTGACTGCTTAAACTAAAATTTGCACGAAAACTTTGACTCTTAAAACCCACATGTGACAAAACGGAACCATCAACATCTCGCCTCAAAGTGCATTAAAAGTGACATTCGTGTCTTAATTCGTTCGTATTTCAACCTTTTAAAGCATCATTCACGGTCCGCCATCTTGGTATGCGTCGGTTGCCGTGAGACGCGCATGCGCAGGTTTGCATTACATCATAAACAGCTGAGGCAGTGCATCACTTCAAGACAGTGTATCTCGGCGTTTACACCTGCGTGTGAGCATTATAGACTGTGTGTGCGCATGGATCCCAAAGATAAGTAGAGAGAGTCGATAAGACTGGACTAAGAATGAGAATGAACATTTGCTTTCAGTCAATGAGGAAGGACTTGCTTCATGTTGATGATGGATATGAACAGACAGTGATGCAGGTGAACTCGGAGCCAAAAAGCATATTTATTTACTCTATTTGTACAATTGCATGAAGGTTAAAATTAAAGCAGAGTCGTCACGTGGTGCGTCATTCTCTCCAGGACATGCTGCAATGAAAATACACATTTGATAATCATGAATGGTTTTTATGTTTTTAGCCTTTACTTTGTCATTTAGATATTAGTCTAATGTAGCTAAGGTAGCTAAGGTAGCTAATGTAGCTAATGTAGCTAATACAGCTTCAGCCCCTGTTACCTTCATATAAGCCTTATACAACGCTGTTTATTTGTTTTTTGTCAAATATGGCTCCTTGAACCTTTTGAGTTGCCTGGGCCGCTTAAAAGGAAAAAATGCCCGGGCCGTTTTTTTGTCCCAGTCCAGCCCTGCCATGCAGCCTCTCGCTGAGTCCAGCGGGTGGTCCATAGACAGTAAATAAGCGTCCGTGCTAGTTTGTGTTAGCTTCCCGTGACTTGTAGAAACTGTGTTGTTGGTGTAAATATGTGACGATAGTATTTGTCCCAAAGACGGAGAATGAGGCGACTGGAGATCGACATTGTTCACGGGGATATCTGCCTCATAATTTATTCTATTTTGTTCTAGCTGGAAAGAGTGTATAAAATAAGGCTTGCTGAAAGTGAAAATGAAAGTTCACATTAGCCACAATGTTGTACATATACTGTAGAATACTTTTGAGAATTAAAAATATAGGAGGATTTTCTACTTCCGGGTGGATCATCAAGACTTGTTCCAGACCTTGAGTCCGTAATTAACCCGGATCTATAGCCCGTCCGTCCGTGGGAGCGGATCCCTTTCTGAGGTTTCTCACTTTTTCCCACTGGGTTTTTTTAAAGAGTTTTTCCTTGCCGATGCAGGAGGGTCCGTTGGGCAGTTAGTGTCCAACTAGAAGGACTGTGGTGATGATCCAGGACACTTTAACATTCTACAAAATGTATGACATTTATCAACATGTGTTCTATATTCTTTTTGTGTCCTAACTGTTGATTCTCTGATCTATGTTGGTGATTCAATGGTTTTGTTAAGTCCTCTGAGATGACTTCTGTTGTGATTTAGGGCTATACAAGAATAAATTGTATTGTATTCAAGTTCAAGTTCAAGTTGTCTTTATTGTCCCACTAGGGGAAATTGGTTTTGCAGCAAAAATCATCTAAAAAAAAACCAGGCAGATACAGTAAAATCACAACATTGAGAAAACAAGAACAAAAGAGAATGTCACAAAACAAATTTTCAGCGCAAAGGTTTGTAAAAGTGCTATGTGCTGTTAAGGTGCTTCACAGCTGTTGGGATAAATGTAGTTCCCAACCGTTTTGTCCTACACCCAAGAGCCCTATAGCGTCGTCCTGAGGGTAAAAGTTCAAACTGCTCCCTCAGGGGGTGGTCCAAAGAACCAATGATAGAATTGGCCTTCCTCAGCACTTGTATTGTATAAAAGATGATATAATTGCAATCACACCTGTTTCTTTCCTTTATGTAATTGTAAATTGTAAGTCATTGTAAATTTGTGGTTGACGAATCAAAGTTTGAATAAACTAAAATAAACCTAAACCTATGAATAGTTTACACACAAAAGTCACAAGTTTAAAATGAGTCTCATGTCACTACACCTCTGCTCTGAGAAGGAACCTCCTTTCACCAATACACCTTTTTGGACTGACTGTATACTGTAATGTACTTTCTCTTTTATATTCATATTTCAAAATATGGACCAATTGAATTTGAGACTGAAATTAAGATTCGTAAAATGACACCAAAGCAGACATTGCAGGTTAGGAAAAAGGGAAAACATTTATTGAGCGCTTGACTTGGCTGGGCTGGTGGGTCTCTGGAGCAGGAAGGTGGTCTGGGAAAAAAGACAATTTGAATGAATAACAAGGCAAAACATGTTAACACAAGCTGAAGTTTGAAGTTTCACTAGATTCAAGCTAAAGATAGGTCTGTACCACTGTAGATGTCATGGTGTGGATTTTGTATTTTGTTTTTAGTTTTACTTCCCGACTTGTTCCACAGTTGATTGCCTGCCCTAATGTGTTTCACCTGTGTCTCTGTGTCTTTATGTGCTCTGTGCTCTTCCCCCATTTGTTGCTGGTTCATTGTCTTTGTTCCTGATACGTGTGTTTAGTTTGGATTTTGTTTTTTCAATGGACTTTTATCATAATTAAATCATTATTCTTTTGCATTCTTGCATTTTGGGTCCTTCCTTCAGCTCACCTCGTCACAGTAGAACAATCTGGCAGTGTGACCTGGAGAGCTTGATTGTAGGAGTCAGGTGTAACTGCTCAGAGATCCCACCAGCAAAACACCAATCCTGCAAGACAGAGACCAGGAGACTCAGAGACCAGGGAACAGACAGACACATGGGGCAAAGATATATATATATAAGAATCAATGGAAGTTGAAATAAGAACCCCTCTTTGTGGTGGGTCAGTAACTGAAAACTATGGTTTTGCCCCACATTATATACAAATATATACATAGACCACCCTTACCTGCAGTGTCCTGTGTGCTGTCCCCCCTTGTCCTGGATGCCCTGTGAGGTCTGAGATCCAGATCTAGAGTTGATCCAGCATCTGTTGTTCCGCTCCCCACTGCTCTATACTATTTAACACTAAATACAATTTAGTGTTGAGAGAACAGATTTTTAAAAGAACATGCGATGTCTGTCCTCAAGAGTTCACCTGAGTATGTGTTGGATGAGAGAAGGCACGCTCCTTTTGTGGCACCAGCAGCTGCCACAGCTGATCAGGCGCTGCCACAGCTGATCAGGCGCTGCCACAGCTGATCAGACGCTGCCACTCTTTCTGCCACTGGCATTTTCAGTAGCAGCTAGAAGCTTGGTAGCATTTTAGCCTGAATGTCCCCCAGGGCAGGTAAAGGTGCCCTGAGTGTTGTCCTTGGTGTAGCTGGAAAAACAAGCACAGCAACAGTAGGTCAAGATGCTCTTTGCTGAGTTTACAAAGGAAGTAGTCTCTGCTCTAAAGTTTGAAGTTTCATAATATTCAAGCTTAAATAGGTCTGTACCACTGTAGAGAAGGAAAAATTTGCCTGTGAGACCTGGAGAACTTGATTGTAGGAGTCAGGTGTGCCTGCTCAGAGATTCCTCCAGCAAAAAAAAACAATCCTGGAACACGCAAGAGTGAGAATAAGAGACAAGGGAATAGACAGACACATGGGGAACAGAGCACTTATTGTCTCCACCAATATACAAATGAATTAATTCAGATGAAGTTGAAATAAGAAACCTTCTCAATGGTGGGAAAACTGTCAGTAAGTGTCAAATATGTTTTTGCCTCACTTCATACATAGACCACCCTTACCAGCAGGGCTGCTCCAGTCTCTGAGCTTGGATCAGGTCCTGTGTGCTGTCCCTCTTGTCCAGGATGTCCAGTGAGCTCTGAGACGTGTGATCCAGCATCTGTTGCTCCACTCCCCGACGCTCTGCACTCAAGGAAGGCAAGTGCTTAAGAGACCAGGGAAAAACAGACACATGTGGAGCATTACCTGCAGTGTTGTGAGACCTTTGTGGGCCTGCTCCAGTCACAGGACCTATCTTGGATCAGGTCCTGAGTGCTTGTCCTGGATGAGCTCTGTGACGTGTGATCCAGCAACTGTGGCTCTGCTCCCCAATGCTATCTGCACTCAATGAAGACAAGTACTTCTGCGGCACCTCTCTGCAGCTGCACAAATACAATTTAGTGTTGAGAGAACAGATTTTTAAAGAACATGTGATGTCTATCCTCGATAGTTCACCTGGGTCTGCTCTGGACACTGATGTCTGTCCTCCAGAGTTCACCTGGGTCTGCTCTGGACACTGATGTCTGTCCTCCAGAGTTCACCTGGGTCTGCTCTGGACACTGATGTCTGTCCTCCTAAATTCACCTGTTTCTGTTCTGCCACTGGCATTTTCAATGGCAGCTAGAAGTTTATCGGCATGTCCAGTGGCAGATAGAAATTATGTGGCATGTCCAGTGGCAGCTGG